CATGAGACAAAGTATATGTGAACTGCTGTATGAAAAGTGAATTTACTCTGTAAATCTTCACCCAAATCCTAATAAAAAACCAAACAAACAAAAAAACAAATGTTAAATAACTGGGTTACTTCAGCATCTTATCTGACTCCACACTCCTTGTATTTTCCAACCTAGTGAATTCTAGACAGCCAAGATCCTCTTAGACTCCCCTGACTCTTTTCTCATGTCTACAGTACTAAGCTACACTGCTAGCCAAAGGGTTGGCATTTGGAACACACTCAGTAGCTTTTTGGGAGACCAAACCAAACTCACTGCCATCGAGTTGGATCCAATTCACAGTGACCCCTCCTTGGGTTTCTGAGGCAGTATCACTAAGGAAGTAGATTGCTCAACCTTCCTACTGATTTATGGGAGAAAGATCTGGAGATCTAGTACCATAAAGATTACAGCCTAGGAAGCTCTATGAGGCAGTCTACTCTGTCACATGGAATCACCATGAGTTGAAACTGACTCAGTGGCAACTAACAACAACAACAACGGACTGAGCTGGGAACCATGATTAAGGCAGTCCAGCTCAAAGGAAAAGCATCAGAAAAACCTAGTGTAGAAATAAATATCAAGGGCAAGAATGAGAAAGGTGAAGAGGAAAACAGGAGATGAAGACAGAAGGACAGTGTGAGTACATCTGTGTGTGTGTGTGTGTGTGTGTGTCTGTATTTGCTGAAGGTAAGGAAAAGCAGAGCTCCTTGAGGGAAAGGATTGAGCCTCACAGGTTCTTTATCCCACGTCCCAGCCCAGCTGTTTTTCTGTTGCCTGGATGAGGAGTTAATTAGCTCCACTAAGTCCTGTTGCTGTAGTACTTACCAATTATACTGGTAACATGTAATAGACAGGCTAAAGTTGCACTGTCCTTCCTAAAATACAACACGCTGTAAGTAAACTGTTGTTAGCTCCTGCTAAGTTAGCCCCCAATTCATGCAACCCACATACAATGACACAAAATGCTGCTGGTCCTGCACCATCCCCATGATCAACTGCAGATCTGACTGATGTGATCCGTAGGGTTTTCCTTCATTGATTTCCAGCAGTACATCATCAGGTCTGGAAGTTCTGACAAAGTCTGCTCAATATCATGTTGTTGTTACATGCCGTCGAGTCAGCCCTGACTCACAGCAACCTCTTCTTGGGTTTCTGAGGCAGTATCACTACAGAAGTAGATTGCCCAACCTTCCTTCTGAGGAGTGGCTGGTGGGTTTGAACCACCAGCCTTCTGGGTAGCATCCAAATTCCTTTAGGCACTATGCTACCAGAGCTCCCTGCTCAATATCATATCAACACATAATTCTGCACTGATGGATGGTGGCTGCACATGAGGTCCATTGGCTGGGAATTGAACTGAGTTGCACAGCATGGACGGCAAACCACCAATCCACTCTTGAAAGTTAATTATAAACTTTATAAAAGCAACCTCCACAGACAATTTGCCTTACCTTTGCAGCTTTGGCATTCCTAATGGTAATGAGTTGCTGTGCAATGACTGACAACACTTCTATGTCAATTCGATTAAATTCATCAAAGCAGCACCAGGCCCCTGATTGTGCCAAACCACTGAAGAAACGCCCCATCATCTGAAATCACAAAAGTGCTATTCAATTTTGTACTGCATATTTCAGCTTCTTCAAAACTTACATTTTAAACTAAAATATTAAAAAGAAAAGAGATGAGACCTGCAAATAAGCAATAGTTTTATGTGAACACTGGGCTATGTCAGAAGTCAGAACTTTTCTACAAAATGACATGTCATTTTGTCTTTCTTTAAATAATATGAGTCTAATTTTATTTTTAAATACAATGACAATCTGACCATTTTCCTTTTTTCATAACCTTCACTGGCCTCTGCAAATACTTGACAGGCTCTCAAAGAATGTAACACATGGAATAGAAAAACTTAAGGACTTAAAAGCTTAAAAAGTTTTAAAATGGAAACTTTCCTTGTCTTTACAAGGCATTACAGGTGGTAGACAATATGCCAGGACTACTGAGTGTAGGCACAGCTGCATAATTTAGGGCTGTTGTTGTTAGGGTCTGTTGAGTCAGTTCCAGCTCATAGCTACCCTATGTACAACAGAAGGAAGCTCTACCCAGTCTTGCACCATCCTCAAATTATTGCCATGTTTGAATCCAAGGTTGTGGCCACCGCACTAATATCTCTCATTCAGAGTTTTCTTCTCCTTCGCCCAGTCTCTACTCTTTCAAGCATGATGTCCTTCTCCAGAGACTGGTCCCTCCAGTCATAATATGTCCAAAGTACGTGAGATGAAAACTCACCATTCTTGCTTCAAAGAAACATTCTGGCTGTATTTCTTCCAAGACAGACTTGTTCATTCTTCTGGCAGTCCATGGTTTAATATCCTTCAGTGACACCATAATTCAAATGCATCAATTCTTCTTCAGTCTTCCTGGGACTCATCTTCCTTAGACTCATATTATTTAAAGAAAGGCAAAATGACATGTCATTTTGTAGAAAAGTTCTGACTTCTGACATAGTCCAGCTTTCACATGCATATGAGGTGACTGAAAATGTCATGCTTTGAGTAAAGCACACTTTAGTCCTCAAAGTGACATCTTTGGTTTTTAAAACTTTAAAGGTCTTTTGCAACAGACTTGGCCAATATACCATTTGATTTCTTGGCTGCTGCTTCCATGGGCATTGATTGTGTGCAATGAAATCCTTGATAATTTCAAAATTTTCTCCTTTATCATGATGCTGCTTATTAGTCCAGCTGTGAGGATTTTTGTTTTCTTTATGGCGAGGTGTAATTCATTCTGCAGATTGTGGTCTTTGATCTTCTCATCAGTAAGTGCTTCAAGTCTTCTTCGCTTTCAGCAAGTAAGGTTATATCATCTGCATACTGCAGGTTGCTAATGACTCTTCCTCCAGTCCTGATGTCACATAGTTCTTCATATAGTCCAACTTCTTGGACTATTTGCTTAGTACATAGATTGAGTAAGTATGGTGGAAGGATACAACCCTAACATACACCTTTCCTGATTTAAATCATGCAGTGTCCCCTAGTTCTGTTCAAAAGATTGCCTCTTTGTCTATGTACAGGTTCTACAGGAGCACAATTAAGGGTTCTGGAACTCCCATTCTTTGCAATGTTATCCATAATTTGTTATGATCCACACAGTTGAATGCCTTTACACAGTCAATAAGACACAGGTAAAAATATTTCTTTTATTCTCAGCTTTCAGGCAAGATCTATCTCACAGCAATGATATCCTTGTTCTAGGTCCTCTTCTGAATTTCTGGTAGTTTTCTGTGGATGTACTGCTGCAACCATTTTTAAATTATCTTCAGCAAAATTTGACTTCTTTGTGATATTAGTAACATCATTCAATAATTTCCACATTCTATTGGTTCACCTTTATTTGGAATGGACACAAATATGAATCTCTTCTAGTCATTTACCTGGTAGCTATATTCCAAATTTCTTTGCATAGACTAGTGAGTACTTCTAGCATTGCATCAGTTTGTTGAAACATATTAATTGGTATTCTGTCAATTCCTGGAGCCTGGTCTTTAGCCAGTCTCTAAAGTGCAGTTTGGATTTCTTTCTTCAATATCATCGGTTCTTGATCATATGTTACTTACTGGAATTATTGGATATTGACCAATTCTTGTTTGTAAATTGACTCAGTGCATTCTGTCAGAAAGAAGGACATGCCAATCATCTTCTCAAAATATTCGCCAGTTAAAACCTTATGAATAGCAGCAGAACATTGTCTGAAAAAGTGCCAGAAGATGAGCCCTTCAGGTTGGCTGTTGTTGTTGTTGTTGTTTGCTGTCGAGTTGGCCCCGACTCATAGCGACCCCTCCTTGGGTTTCTGAGGCAGTATCACAACGGAAGTAGGATTGCCCAACCTTCCTTCCGAGGAGTGGCTGGTGGGTTTGAACTGCCAGCCTTCTGGTGAGCAGTCAAGTGCCTTAGGCACTACGCTACCAGAGCTCCTAAGTCACTCAAAATACAACTGGTGAAGAGAAGTCTCCTCAAAGTAGACTTAACCTTAATGACATGGATGGAGTAAAGCTTTTAGGACCTTCATCTGTTGATGTGGCATGACTCAGAATGAGAAGAAACAGATGCCAGCATCCACTAATAATCAGAATGTGGAATGTATGAAGTATGAATCTAGGGAAATTAGAAATAATTGAAATTAAATGAAGCACATAAAGATCAATATCCTAGGAATTACTGAGCTGAAATTGACTGGTATTGGCCATTTTGAATCAGATAGTCATATGATCAACTATGCTGGGAATGAGAAATTGAAGAGGAATGGTGTTACCTTGTTAAAAAGAACATTTCGAGATCTATCCTAAAGTACAACACTGCCAATGATATAATAATGTCCATATACCTGTAAGGAAGACCAGTTCATACTACTATTATTCAAATTTATGTACCAATCATCAAAGCAATCCCTCTGACAGAGCAGAATTGATCCTTAGGGTTTTCTAGGTGTTTATCTTCACAGAAAATCTTTACCTGCAGGCTTATGGGTGGGTTCAAACTACTGACTTTTGGTTAGCAGCTAAGCAGTTAACCATTGTAAATTCACAGATTTTAAAATAAAATATTTAATATATTTACTTATTTAAATGATATATTTATTTTTAAATAAGCTACTTAGTAATATTTAAAATCAGCATTTGATGTGTCTCGATATACTGCCATTGTCATTATTAGTATTCACACATTGTCCCATCTTTGGCCAGTAGAAGCCTAAGTTAGATTCTGATTCTTTTTTATTTGTCCTCAGTACTTCTTGATCTTTTTCTTGTTATCAGCAGACAAGACATCCCAGACTTATCGCATGCATTTCCTTCTCTAATCCTAGAACCAGGCCTGGTTACTTTTAGTAGAAAACAGCATTTAAGATCACAGTCTGGGTACTAGAGGTGCTGTTACTAGGCTATCAATGTGTCTAGGTCTTTTTGGAAGACACAACTAGGAAATAATAACTAATTGAGAGAAGATTAATATCAAATATATATAAAAGCTGGGCAAGAGATGTGAAAAGATATTCATGGAAGAGGAAATCCTAATGGTCATAAATATTTGAAAAGGTGTTCAACCTTACTAATAACCAGGAGAATACAAACAGATACCCCTCAGATTGAGAACAATTAAAAAGCCTGATAGCGGCAGAGGTTCTGTTGCCTATATATTTACCACGATAAAAACAATAATTTAAAATAAAACCTGATAGCTTTGGTAAGGATGTGGAGCAAACACAACTTGTAGATAGTTCTGGGGTGTGTGTGTGTGTGTGTGTGTGTGAGTATAAATCATCACAATCACTCTAGAGAACCATTTTTCCTTATTCAGGCAAGATGAAGATGACCCTGAGACATGATCCTAGGTTTACACCCCAGGCCAGAGAAATCACTGCATTCATGCACCTGGAGATGTGGATAATTGTCTCAGACCAGCTTTGCTCATAGTAGCAAAATACTGTATTAGAAACAACCCAAATGCTTATTAGAAGGAGAATGAATGAATAAATCTTGGTATGTTCATGGATTGGAAGGGCACATAACTGTGAAAATGAATAAAATAGACTTACATGTTTCAATCTTGATGAATCTCATAGAAAAACTCTTAGTGGACAAACAAAATGACATTACATTTTATTTAGTGATACATACATACTATATACACATACCATGATAATCCTCAAATTCAGGAGAGAAGTTAACTCTGGGGGAAAGCAGTGGGGGGGGGGAGCTCTAAGTGTGTTGAAATTGCTGTTGTTGTTGTTGTTATAATAAAATCCTGATCAACAAATTAATGAGTTGGTAGATTTTGTCTGAAGTAGACATACAAATTTATAAATATACATCATATGTTTTTACAGTTTTAGCAGCAATCATCAGAAGAACTAAAAACAAAATGAAAACACTTCTCTCTAGGGAATGGAACTGGGTATTGTGGGTAGGGAGGAAAATGTTTACTTTAAATTTTCTATCTTTTTTTTTTTTTTCTTACAGTTTGAGGTTTTCCATGTGTAGACATTTCTTTAATGTACTGAGTATGAATTCTTTCAGAGACTGGTGACAGCAGTTTGCTATACCTGGAGTCCTGCTTCTGCCACCCTGCTTTATGGGTAGATAGGTCACCTTTTCTGCTCACTCACCTTTTCCGCTCACCTTTCTCAAAGCAGCTTTTCCAGTCACTAATTCTTCTCCCTAGGAGTCCTTGGGTGGTACAAACAGTTAAAATGCTTGGCTGCTAACTGAAAGGCTGGAGGTTCAAGTCCACCCAGACCTGCCTTGGAAGAAAGGCCTGTTGATCTACTTTTGAAAAAACATCCATTGAAAACCCAGTGGTATAGTCTACTCTGACATGGAGTCACCAGAATCGATTCAGACCCACCACAACTGGTTTATCTGTTCACTCCTCTCTATAGCTCCCAGTGTGAAACAGCAAAGTGCCTGTGCTGCACTTCTATTGTTTTTGTTTAGTAAGCAAAAAGACCTTCCCAGTCATGTTCTTTTTATTCTAAGATTTTAAAAAGGATTTGGATTTTTGAAAAAAATGTGTTCCATTAAACATTAACTCCAGGAGGTGCTTCTGAAAAATAACTATCATTTGCTCTATAAAAATGAATGAATTGCAATTTATGTGGCCAATTTAAATGATTATGTTCTATATTTAGACATTATACAAGCATATTTGTAAGTTTCAGAAAAATGAGACTATTAGCTCATTGTGTTAGAACATAAAAGGCACCTACCCATGATCAAAAACATGAACAAAATAAAGCTAAGCAGATTTCCTAAGTGTGGGACCCTATCTAACATTTAATATGCTACTGTTAGTTGTGAAATCAGGAGGGGAATGAGGCACAACATGGATTGTTTTGTTTCTTCTTTTCTGAGTATGTTACAGTATTATCCCAAGAAACATACTTTGAGGAGATACTATTTCACATATGTAATTTTGCACTGATTTCTTTCATGTAATTGAAGGGCTCTGATCTTTTCTCTGCCCCTAAGCAAGACACCCAAAGCAGCTGCCACACCTCATTCTCTCCATTTATTACGAGAGACAGGTTGTAAGTAGAGACAAGTGCATAAAGCATATGATATTGGTATCCAGATGCTGGAAATGTACCTTGTAGTCTAAACCATCAGAACAGTTGAAGACCACACACTGGATGGCGAGAGCTTTTGCTAGGTCCTTAGTAGTCTCAGTTTTCCCAGTGCCAGCAGGACCAGCTGGGGCACCCCCCAGGTCGAGTTGCAAAGCTCCCATGAGGCAAAGGTAGCAGCGATCCTAAAGAAATCAATAAATTGTCATTATTGCAGGGAATCAACTCTTGCCATAACTTTATAAGTCCTTTCTTTTCTGTAGGAAGGCTGCACTAATTTCCATGAAAAATTTTTTATAAGTTGAAAGATACAGGCATACTTCAGAGATATTGAGGATTCTGTTCCAGACCACTGTGATAAAGTGAGCATCACAATAAAGCAAGTCACACTAATTTTTTGGTTTCTCAATGCATATAAAAGTGTATTTACACTACACTGTTGTCTATTGTGGTTACAATAGCATTATGAAATAGTTTGAATATTATGAGAATCACCAAAATGTGTCACAGAGACATGAAGTAAGCACATACTGTTAGAAAAATGGAGCTGATAGACTTGCTGGGTGTAGGGTTGCCACAAACCTCCAATTTGTAAAAAATGCAATATCATGAAGCACAATAAAACAAAGCACATTGAGACAAAGTATGCCTATACACAGAGATCCATGCATATAATCAAATAATGCAAACCTCTGCTTCATGAAGATGAATTTATGGCAAATCCGTTCGTGAGTTAATATTAGAGAAAACGTTGTAAGACTCATTTTGGTAGAAAAGCATTTTTGTGTCAACATTAACCTAAATGAACAGTAGCTTACCGTAAGAGGAGTAATAACTAATCTTGGGCATGCACCTAAATATTCATAACCATATGTATACTGTGAAAGTGCCATTTGAGCCACACAATTATCCAGGTCTACATCCCAGTAATAGCGCAGTTGTCTCTGCCAGTCAAAGGATTCAACTCCGTCTATCTACATGAGTGACATAAATGATATACATGTGAAATACACTCATTTCAGGAAAAAAAATATGAGTTTATTTAAATGAAACATTTACCTTGGCTTCAACAAGTTCAGTGACAATGTCTCTTGCATGTACGTCAATAGTAATTAAGGCAGTTATGATGTTTCTGTGTAATTTAGGAAGACTACCTCGAACTAATGCAGCCAGAGCATTTAATCTCTGCAAATTAAAACAAAAATTTCATGATGAATTTCAAACATCATATATATATATATATATATTTACTATTATACTTGGAGGAGCTCTGGTGACATAGTGCCTAAGGCATCTGACTGATAACCAGAAGACTGGCATTTCAAAACCACAAGCCACTCCTCGGAAGGAAGACTGGGCTATCTACATCCGTAGTGATACCACCTGGGAAACCCACAGAGGGATGGCTATGAGTCAGAATTGATTTGGCAGCAGTGAGTTTGGTTTGGTTATTACAGTTGGAGTTGATATCTCTAAAACCATTGACATTTTAGAATCTTTAATTTTGTGACTGAATCTGACAAGAGTTTACCTTATTTAATTCCCAAAACACGTTTACGAGGTACATCCTATCATTACCACATTTTACACATGAGAAAACTGAAATCACAGAGGGTAAGTAACTTTATGTTAGTCATACAACTATGAAGGGGCAAAAATGAAATTTAAGAAAATGTTTGCCTCGAGGAAAGCCTATGCTCTTAACTGTTAGGTGACGGTGTTTCTAGAGATTGTTTTCCCTAAAACTGAAATGTTAGGTGGTTACTCCTCCTTTTCAGGGGTAGTTTTTCTATCGATAATCAGGAAACCTGAACATTTTACTCAAGCCAATGCTTGATTACATGAAAGCACTTTGATAGCTTTGCACCTGATTTTCACCTCAATGGTCAAATCTTTTCCAGTGAAAAGTGATGTTTCTGAGCACCTTGTGCTGCTGTGCTGAATGCCCACTTCGGCCTGTCTTCATTGGGGACTACTGCTATAAACAGGTTAATGGAACTTTCTTTAGGGAGACTTTTCTCTTTCCTAGGGCTCGCTGAGATGAAATTACATTAAGGATTTAATGAGAGAGTTTTCGCTTATTCCAGGAAAGATGTTTCCTTCTTTTCTTTTTAAGAGTGATTCTTTAAAAATGCAGTATTATTTGGAAGTGGCATTGAATTTGGAGTTAAAACTTAGGCTCCACTGTAAAATAGCATTTTCCAGACCCAGAACGGTATTTTGAGTCATTCAGTTATTTCTTTTCTTTTTCATTGATAGTTGCCTAAGGTGTGTGTGTGTGTGTGTGCTGATGGTGGGGCTATAAAATGGCAGAAAAGCATCTCTTAAGTCTAGAAACAGAAATAATACAAATCAGAGGTTTTCCTGGATGGAAAAAGCTTTTGCAGGAGATATCCAAGACCTACTAAACAAAACATTATGACCCTGATGTTTTCCTCTTGAATTGTTTATTTCCTCCTATTTTTGTAAGCATTCTTTTAAATACTATATAAGTGCCAATTATTCCTAAGAAAACTTGAATGTATATGTTTTAGTGAGAACTTTAAAGTCTTGGTCACATCAAAGAATTTCAGAAATAAAGCCAATTTGCATTACCATGCTAATAAAAACCTCTAAAAGCATCCTGCATAGCAATATGTTCACTATTATTCTGTTAAAAATCTCACCTCAAAGTTTACTTTTTCAAAAGCTTCCAGGCCTTCTTGACGATTACCATCATCTGTTTCTAAACACTCAGTCAAATCACGACACCACATGATTTGAGAAATGGTCAGGATCACCTGCATGAAAATATCTTTCTTAAGTGTGTGACGCATTCACCAGAAGATTCAGAGATGGAAACATACAAATATAAGTTACTTGAGAAGGGTGGCCAGCAATCACCCAGTCTGTCCTCAGTTTTCCCTGGTAGTCAGCAATGGCAGCTTTGCACAGGCGACGCAAAGATGAAAACATGGCTTCTTCCACTTTACCAAGCCAATCTTCCACATTGCCTCTGGCCTTGAGGCCTTTTCCCAAACCAACCTAGGAGATAATAAGGGCAATGAGAAAATGTCTCCTTGAGACTTGTAGGCTGGATGTCCTTTGTACATCTGCAACAGCACCCTGAGTTATGTAAACACTGAAGCCTGACTACTAACACTGGAAATTGTTATTTCTATTCCACTTAAAAGGAGCTCTGGTGTTGCAGTGCCTAAGGCATCCAACTGCGAACCAGGAGGTTGGCAGTTCAAACTCACCAGGTGCTCTGCAGAAGGAAGCTGGGGCAATCTACTTTCATAAAGATTTACCTCCTAAGAAACCCAATGGAGGTCACTGTGAGTTGGTAATGACTCTACTTCAGTGAGTTTTTTTTTTTTTTTAATTCCTTTAAGGTCACTGTAGAAGCTCTGGTGGAACAGTGGTTAAGGCATTCGGCTGCTAACCAAAAGGCTGGCGGTTGGAACCCACCAACTGCTTCATGGGAGAAAGATGAGGCAGTCTGCTTCCGTAAAGATTTTTAGCCTTGGAAATCCTTTAGGACAGTTCTACTCTGTCCTACAGGGTTGCTATGAGTCTAAATTGACTTGACAGCAGTGGGGTTACTAGGAATCAAAACTGACTCAAGGGCAATGGCTTTTATTGTTTGTTTTTAAAAATCTCTCTCTTTCCCCTCCATTTATTGCTTTATTTTTACTGCTTTTTTTGTTGGAGCTAAATGCCTCAAAGAGAAATCTACATACATTAATTTCCTCACTTCTATTCACTTTCCTATTAGCTGCAATCTGGTTTTTGCCCAACCACTCCTTTGTATATCTGTTCTCATTAAGGTTACCCATGTCCCCTAATCATCAAGTCCAACTGACACCTTTCAGTCCTTCTCATATTTATTTCTCAGATTTCTAATAATCAGGTTTTCCTACTTGTCTTGGTCTCCATCTGTTCTTCTTCTACTCTCTCTTTAAATTTCATGTTTCCCCAGGATTCTAGCCTTGGTCCTCTCCTTCTTCTTCTTTACCATTGATGAGAAAATTGTTTTGTGAGAGGATCAATTCAGAACAAATATAATGTGTATGGGCTCTGCTAATCACATACCACTGTGCTCTATTGGCTACAATCCTTGGCATTTCCTTGCATAGTTCCTCTGTCTAGAATGCTCTTCCCTGCCATGTCCACGTGGGAAATGCTCCTCTCCATCTTCCTCATCTTCCTGCATGTGTGTCACTCTCTGATGTAAACTCACTTGATTCCCCACAATCTCCTAATGCAGATATTTGCTCAGCGGTCATGCCAGGTGCTGTGCTGTGCCTAGGTATACCACCACTGTGATGGTAACTGATACTTGCACAACACTCACTGTGTGCCATGCTAAGGAATTCATGAATATCAGCAATTGAGTATCTGCCTAGTTCCATCAATCAGGTATTAATAATTCCCATGTTATTAATGAGGTTAAAAGGTGGACCTGGGACTTGCATCCAGGTGGCCTGCCTGTAGAACCAGCACCTTTAACCAGTTTGCTACTGTGCCTCTGAGCTGAGTAAAGCATGATTCTAGTTTCCTCTACTCTGTTCCCAAGCACAGAGCACTTGCCTCTGTTAATTCATTTACTACGGTGCTTTTTAATTGTTTGTATGACTGTTTCTTCACTAGACTGTGAACTCTTTAATGTAAAGAGTTTGAGGGCAAACATTTTATGTTAGTCATCTTGGAAACCCCCAAGATAACAGAATACCTGGTATGCAATAGCAATTGATGAATGCTTAGACAGAGAATGAATAAATCTGTACCCCCAACACCTGAAGAGTAACAAACTGTCTATAAAGAATTGTAAACTAAAAGTATCTTACCCTTTCTCCCTCTGGTGATAGCATTGCTAAAATATCATTAGTATAAACCTTTTCCGGTTCTCCTTCAATGCCAGGAATTTTTCCTTCCACGGGAAGCATAAGAGCAAATTCGAGCTTTGAAATGGAGTCAAAGCATTTTCTTAAGTGTGGCTGCACTGCTTGGGGATTTCGTGTCTGTGCCAAAATTTCCAGAAGTTCATCATTTGACAAGAAGTAAAATCTGGATTAAAGAAAAAACTTAAAATAGAACTTGAAATTGAAAAGCCTTGGATAGACAAAAAAATATATAAATCCTTTAGCCACATCTCTTCCTTATCCACAGATTTACTGAACCTCCAACCTGCTGGTCCTTGGTTTTTGGGAAGGCCACATGTCCCTAAATAAAACTGCTGTGAGGATTAGTGATGATGTATCTCAAACACCTAAAGGTACTGCCTGGTACATAAAAGACAAATAATTTTAATAAAAATTGTAAAACAATGCCAGTTCTTGCTATTATAATGATTTGTATGTCTTACTTGGCTTTGAGCTCCTAGAGTGATGCCATATTATTTGTTTTCCCTAGAATATATAGCCTAGAATCTCACATACATAATTCGTTAGATTGGTGGGTGGATGGGTGGATGGGTGGAATGGATGGATGGGTGGATGGATGAATGGATGGATGGATGGATGAGTGGATAGCTACAGAAATCTTATTTGGTTCTGTGAAAGTGCACTGAGTGATCTACCCAACCCAAAGGCACACACTGTTCTCTGAAGTATATGCTACCATGAAAAGTGGCAGAATATGATTTTGCCAATACACCATTTCCAACCACATGCACCTACACCTATGTAGAAGTAAAACATTTTGTATATTTTTCAATATCCCTATCAGCAAGGTGGGTGAAGGAATTGTGAATTTATAGAATACTATTTTGCTATAAATCAGAGGTTGGCAAACTACAGCCCCCAGGACAAATCTAGCCTACCGCCTATTTTTATAAATAAAGTTTTATTACACAGGTATCTCCATTTGTTTACATATTGTATATAGCTCCTTTTGTGCAACATCAGCAGAGTTGAGTAGCTGTAACAGAGACCATATAATACCTAATATATTTACTATCTGGTTCTTTATTTCTTTAAAAAAAAAATCGTCAACCTCTGCTGTAAGTAACTAAAAATATTATTCTAAATGCCAGCCTTCATGAAAAATAGTATCTGTATTATATTTAATCACTCCAAATCACCCCAAAGGAATTTAGTTTATTATCCCATCTGACTGTCTTAACTCAATCTACAATAGTTTATGAGAGATTGACTACTGAGATTTAATAATGGCTGTTAACATGCAGAACACCTAACCCAGGGCGATGCACCCACCTACTCTATGGAGATATAGCCCTTGGAGCAATTGGCCATGGGACACCAGAGGGGCAGCATTCACATGGAGGAAAAGCTGGACGGACATACTAAGAAAAGCACAGGGATGGAGGTCACTGAGAAGGGAGAGGAGGAGAGTGGGTTAGGGTTATGGATGGTAATTGGGGAGTGAAACCAAATGTACATGAACTGTTGGATGTAAAACAAATTTTCTTCTGTAAATTTGCACTCAAAGCACAACAACAACAACAACAAAATTAAAATTAAAAAAGATTTAATTATGGCTGGTAAAAAAAATTTTCCAATCAGTAAGGGTTACTTTTGTTTCTGTCCATATTCCTAACTCACTCTTATGTTCTGAAGGACTAAATGTATAAACCATTAGTTAGTAAATGTCCTAAACTGTGACCTTGGTGATATCCCTTCATCAGGAAAAGCTAAGATGACATTTCTTAGGATCCCTTTCCAGTAAGTCTTTGGATCAGATTCTGCCCATGAAAGGCTTTTCTGTGATACTGAGAAGTTGGAAAAGGAGAAAAGGTCACTATTCTCCTGTGGAAGCTGTGGTCAATCATGGGCCATTGATGGTTTTGTCCTTGGTTCGCATATGTCCTCTTGAGAATCACCTCCTTTTTTATTTCAGGCAGCTGAGACTCTTAGTGAAGCTTCCCTGAGATCTGTGCCAGCACTTCCAGATTTTCTTAAAGTAATTTCAGTTCCTTCCATCTCATGCCTTCCAGCACCTGCGTAAACCTGCGTAAAATCCCCATATGAAACCCCTTCACTAAATATCTAAGAGTGGCTTCTCATTCCCAAGTAATGTAACTAGATGTTAAAATGTAAATATTTTAGTCTCAGCTTTGGCTGAAGGTCTAGGACCAGTGTTGCCAACCACTCTCACATTTCAAAACAAAATGTCAGATGACCTGGGACCAATTTGCAAGCAGATGGGTGAAGTGGGAGGGTATAAACAGATATACCCAAGGGTATAAAGTGTTACAGCTGCACAAAAAAATTATATGGAACAAAGAAATCAGCAACATCACACACATACCCACACAAAACCCGTAACAAAATGACTGTAATAAATTCACACTTGTCAATGTCTGCACTGAATGTAAATGAATTAAACGGATCACTCCAGAGATGAAGAGTTGCAGACTAGATAGGAAAACATGACCCACAAATATGCTATCTATAACAGACTCATCTTGGATATAAAGACAAGAATAGACTAAAAATCAAATTTTGGAAAAAAGATACATCAAGCAAATGGCACTGGAAAAAAAACAAAACAAAACTGTACAGATTGTCTCCCCAATCCTGTTAGCTTTGATCTCACCAGTTTTGGAACTAGAGATTTAAGAATTAAATACATTAAAATAGTAATAATAGCAATAATAAAATGATAAAATACATTAAACATGATAACAATCAGGAAAAAGGAGGACACCAAATTGTCCACATAGGAGATAGACAACAGATGCTGATACCAACCAGCATGCCCACAATACTGCATTACCATTATCACCAAACACCAGGCTACAGATAAAATATAAACATCTGAGAGGATCAGATAGAGGTGAGTAAACAGCAGTATACTCTAGACCAAGGATAGATTCAGTGGAGGCTAACCTTGCACAGATACCAATGATACAAAATACCCACAATCCTTACAAAAACAACAGAAGACAGATATAGAGTAATCCCTCACAGATACCCAGACACTGTGAGAGAGAGATCCAATGGATCTATTGTCTCAGGCCCATACTACTGGGGGATACCAGACTCAACTGGCACAACAAAATACATAAAAGCTTTGTTCCTCATCCTACATTGGTGAGTAGTGACTGGGGTCTTCAAAGCTTTCAAGTGGCCATCTAAGATGCAGCTAATGGTCTCCTATCATCAGAAGTGAAGAAGAATGCAAAAAAACAAGGGCATTTGGAAGCAATCAACCCTAGGACACAATGGCCCTCAAGACCAGAAGAACTAGATGGTGCCCAGCTACCAATGCCAACCACTCAGGAAAGGATCAAATCTGGAGATCCTACATAGAGTGGGAGGAAAAGCATAGAACAAAATCCAAAAACTCAATAATGACCAGAATTCCTGGTTGGTTGGAGTCTGGTGAGACCCCCAATACTATGGTCCTGGGATACATTCTGGGCCTGGAATAAAGCTCACTCCCAGGGGCTGGCTCTCAGCCCAATAGTAAACAATATGTACACGCATACCCCTCAACCCAGGATGACGCACCCACATACTCTATGGAGATGCATCCTTTGGAGCAATCGACCACTGGGCACCAGAGGGGCAACATTCACAGGGAGGAAATACAGGACAAACAGGAGTGCATAACTATGAGGGGCATGGGGGGGGTGTTACTAGGCATGGAGGGGAGGAGACTGGATTAGGGTTGGGGATGGTAGTTGGGGAGTGAAACAAAATGTACACGAAATGTTGAATGTAAAACAAACTCCTAAAAAAATACATTAAATGAAATAAAGGTAATAATAAAATGAAATAAAAACTTAATTTACTTAATTTAATCTAACTTAATCTTCCATCTTTTTCCATGTGGTTTATTTACAAAATATTTCCTGAGTAAGTTTTCAGTAAGAATATTTGTGTACATTCTTCAAAGCCTATACTAGTGTACAACTGAATCTCTGGATCTTGGATTTCTTGGACACACACACACCCTGTCTAGTGTTCCCAACAGCAATTCTTGTCAACCAAGTAACTACAATAAGCATTTAAACCTAGCTGTCTCACTGTCTGTCTTAGGAGAGATCTTAACAGCCATTTGTTTAACAACAGTTAATGAGAAGAAGCCATGAAAAATGAACCATTATGTCGGTACTCTCCATTGTACAGCACAATATGTCACAATGACTAAAGTTAGGGGCTTTTGCTGCTATCAAGATGTCATACTGTGTTATTGTTGTCAGGTACTGTTGGGTTGGTTCTGACTCATGGTGACCCCTCATGTGCAGAGTAGAATTGCTCTATAGGGTTCTCAAGGCTGTGACCTTGAAGGGTTCCCAAGAAGCAGATCATTAAACTTGTCATCCGGGCACCTCTGGGAAGGTTTGAACTGCCAACCTTTTGGCTAGGAGTAGAACACATAATTGTTTGTGCCACCCAGGGACTCCAGTCATACTATCACCATATACAATTATATTGCAATGACTTATCTATATCACTATCCACCTATTAAGTGTATGCTCCATTAGAGCAGGAGACTGGCCTTTTCTTCTTTGTATCTTCAGCACTAAGCATAATGGTATGTTCTTGGAATGAATGAATGAATGAATGAATGAATGAACAATTTCATTTGGAATTTGTAAAAGGGGCAAACTATAATCACTTCTTAGACAACCTTGGCAGTGACTTGGTTAGTCCACCAATTAAAGTGAAAAAAATTGCTCTGGCAACACGAGTCTCTTTGATTTTTCACATATACATCTGTGAATAGATGCCCACATAGCAGCATACACATTGCCAGAGTGAAACAATGCTATGAGCAAGAATACATCCAGCACCTCAAGGATGTATCTGCCTAAACCTTTATTAAATATTGTATCTGTATCCTTCAGACTTATAGTGCCC